TTATCTGCTTTCCGGAGGGACAACTCTCTCCGTGACTCCCTTGTCCGCTCCACACTCCCCTCCAGCTCCACCACACCCGGCACTTTTCCCTGCAACCGCAGGAAGTGCTACACCTGCCCCCATACCTCCTCCCTCACCCCCATCCCAGGCCCCAAGAAGACTTTCCACATCAAGCAGATGTTCACCTGCACATCTGCCAATGTGGTATACTGCATCCGCTGTACCCGGTGTGGCTTCCTCTACATCGGGGAAACCAAGCGGAGACTCGGGGACCGCTTTGCAGAACACCTACGCTCGGTTCGCAACAAACAACTGCACCTCCCAGTCGCGAACCATTTCAACTCCCCCTCCCATTCCTCAGACGACATGTCCATCCTGGGCCTCCTGCAGTGCCACAACGATGCCACCCGAAGGTTGCAGGAACAGCAACTCATATTCCGCTTGGGAACCCTGCAGCCCAATGGTATCAATGTGGATTTCACAAGTTTCAAAATCTCCCCTCCCCCCACCGCATCCCAAAACCAGTCCAACTCGTCCCTGCCTCCCTAACCTGTTCTTCCTCCCACCTATCCCCTCCTCCCACCGCATCCCAAAACCAGTCCAGCTCGTCCCTGCCTCCCTAACCTGTTCTTCCTCCCACCTATCCCCTCCTCCCACCTCAAGCCGCACCTCCATCTCCTACCGACCAACCTCATCCCGCCCCCTTGACCTGTCCGTCCTCCCTGGACTGACCTATCCCCTTCCTAACTCCCTACCTACACTCACCTTTCCTGGCCCCATCCCCGCCTCTTCGACCTGTTTGTTTCCTCTCCACCTATCCTCTCCTCTATCCCTCTTCTATCCGCCTCCCACTCTCTCCCTATTTATTTCAAAACCCCCTTCCCCTCCCCCTTTTCTGATGAAGGGTCTAGGCCCGAAACGTCAGCCTCTCTGCTCCTATGATGCTGCTTGGCCTGCTGTGTTCATCCAGCCCTGCACCTTGTTGTCTAAGATAGAAGATTGGCTGGCTGACAGAAAACAGAGTATGCAACATAAGGGTCTTTGACTGTTTGGTAGGATGTGATGAATAGAGTCTGGCAGGGCTTCGTGCTTGGCTGTAGGACCTTTCGTTTGTACCTGAGAGGTAAAATGACACCACAGACAATGCAATACTCAGTATGGCACTGGAATGTCAAGCTGGATTGTGTGTTCAGGTCACTGGAGTGGGGCTTGAGCCCGCAGCCTTCTGTATTAAAGAGGAGAGAGGTACCCACTGATCTGGCCACACAAAAAAATGATACCACTGCCACAGTAGGTATTACATTGCCTGTAGTTTTAATTAACCTGTTGGCATTAGTTATCAAGCTTATTGAGCTACTCCAAAATTAGAGGGTGGGCATGTGGAGTCCCTGACCAATTCCTTTAATGTGACATATGGCTCACAAACAGGATTCAATGAAAATGGTCATTGTATATGTGCACATAGGTCAGTGCCTCTCTGCTAGAAATGATCTTGTGACAAGGTGAATAAGCATGAATCCACATATCTGGGGTCACGTACGAAAATCCTCCAAGCTGCCCAATCACATGCCCTGCAGCACGCATCAGTCTAGACAGAAACCACGTTGCAGAAACAGACCATTCTGAGCCTCTAGCTAGTGCTGGGGTTTATGGTCCACCTTCTCCTGCGCATCTTAAACCTAACCTCATCGTCTTATTGCTTTCCCCATTGACCTCTCCCTTGCTTTTCAGAGAAGGTTCACTCGCCTAATTCCTTAGATATAAGGCTTGTTGTATGACATAAGGCCTGTTCTCATTAGAGTTTAGAAGAAGGAGAGATGATCGTGAATGCAGAAAATATTAAAACCTGCAATCACCTCCTCAGGAAACTAACTGTTACCCCAGCAGGACCATAGGTTAAGACTCTAAGGTCTTTTGTTTTTAAAGTTATGTACTCAACTGCAGAACTTTTTTTTTTAACTCGTTCAGAGGATGTGGGCATTGCTGGCTAGGATGACCTTTATTGCCTATTCCTTCTTCCCCCGGAAAAGGTGGTGGTGAACTGTTTATTTGAACTGTCACAGTCCACTTGTTGTGAGTATATCCACAATGCCCTGAGCGATGGAATTCCCAGATTGTGACTCAGCGACAGTGAAGGAATGGGGATGTATTTCCACGTCAGGATAATGAATGGCTGGGAGGCGAACTTGTGTTCCCTTGTCCCTCTACATGATAGTGGTCACAGGTTTGGAAGGTGCGTCTGAGAAGCTTGACTTGCTAAAGTGCATTGGTACACACTGCTGCGACAGTATATCAGTGGTGTAGGGAGTGAATGTTTAAGATGGTGGGTACAGATCCAATCAAGCAGGCTGCTTTAAGTTTCTTGGAGCTGCATTCAATTAGAGAATTTTATCATACCCTTGACTGCACTCTAGTGTAGCACCAAACCTATTGAGCTGCACACTCAACTCGTCAATGTGCTTTATCACAGGAACTCTTTGACTAACTCATGTTTTCTGCTCCCAGGCCTGACTAACATTGCCCCCTCCCAATCACATCAGAAGAGTTGCTGTAATATAACGAGAATGAATATGATAATAGGATGGTGATATAAATCTTGATGTAACAGAGTCATGGGCAGTAGAAAGGATGAAATAGTCTGCACGAGTGAGAGATGCCCTTACAGAGAATTATATCCTTTTCAATAGTGTCAATAAAAGAGCTTGCAGAAACATATTGGAGTCAGATAGCAGTTGCTACTAATAATGGAGAAACAGACTAC